AAATTAATTTGGGTCATAAACAAAAACACCATAAAAATCTTAGTCAAGTTTACTATAAATTTAATCACCTCATAATTTTATAATTAAATTCCACATTATAGATAGCTAAGATTATTATTCAGTGTGCTTGGTTTTCATTTTCTGAATTCAATTTTTCCACAAATTGGTTTTTTTTATTTTTAGTATTTTTTTGTTTTTAGTGAATATTTTTAAAAATTTAAGCAATTTTTTTTACTTTTTTAGATGCACCTCACTTAAATGTATCTAAAAAGTAAAATATTTGTGAAACATTTGTTTTAAAAATTAATAAATACACAAAAATATAAAAAAAAATATACTGAATTTTTTTTTTTGATATTTAGTGAAATTTTTAAAGATCTTTTCATAAAAAATTATACTTTTTATGTGTATTTATGTTAGATGTGTCTAAAAATTTTAAAAATTGCTTAAAATATTAAAAAAATTCAATCAAAACAAAAAAGTAAGATTTTCTAAAAAGTGAATTCTGAAAACTAAAACCAAATAAATTAATTATTTATTTATTTATTTTATAGTTAGAATGTATTGTCCACATCATAAAATTTGGGCAAATTACCAACACCTCCCTCGAAGTTTGACTAAAATACGGATTCCCCCTAAGGTTTGAGAAATTACAAATTCCCTTGAGGTTTATATTTGCATAACAAATGAGGGGGCAATTTGTTATGCAAATTTAAACCTTAGGGGACGGGTTGTAATTTCTCAAATCTCAGGGGAAATTTGTATTTTAGTCAAACCTCGAGGGAGTATTGGTAATTTGCCCTAAAATTTTCAAACTCAAATTGACATTACGAGGATTCCTTACTTTGGAGTTTAGATTTACAAAAGTTCAAAATTTTAATTTCACAGTTTTAATTTATTTGAACCGTTCATTGCATATAAAAAATTAAAAAGAACATGAAAAAAATTAGATTAATCAAACATAAATAATTATATGATCAAATCACATATATATTATAACATATTGATAGTCCATTCTTAAGAACATATAAGTAATATAGATCAAAATGATCTAATAATATGATAATCGGTGTAGGATCAACTTAATTTTTTATATAAACAATTTTTTTAATTTTATAAAATAAATAATTTTGATCATTAAAATGAATTTAAATTAATTCAATAATAAATTAACTTTATTGTAAAATTGAGATATTTAATTTTAACAAATCTCTCTTTTTTTTTTTTATACTTTTCACAATCAAAATTGACTAAAAAGACAATTAAACCAGCGAAGTCATAGACGCTTTGGATGCGTTTGTTTCATTTTCCCACTACTAGTTTGACTAATAGCATACTAGGCGGGTGGGTCACACCATGGGTTTGACTATGACTATGACTATGACTATGTCCATGATCAATGAATGGGCAATGGTTTGTTTGGGCCCGTTGTACGATCAGGAATTTATAATCTCATCTTAGATTTGGGTCTAGAATGAGATGTTAAGTGAAGACAGACAGTTTATATAGTAATGATAGAGACCTCACAAAATACAACTCCACAACTTCTAAAATGATCTGAATTATTCATGTCAATGTCAAACATAACTCACAAAAAAAATTCAAACACATCAATAATCAATACATCAATAGAGGTCAAGGGAGTCCTCCTTTGTGAGGTTCCCAAACATTTTTCCAGTTTATAGATTGTGTAACGTATGTGTAAATGAATCTGAATTGTATATTAATATTTTAAAATAATTTTTAAATAAAATTTATGAATTTGTAATATTTTTGTTGAATGATTGATGTTAATGACAATAATAAGAATGTAAAAAAATTGTCAATAAATTTATGTCAAAATGTGATGTGTGACTTATATTTATTTTTTGTATTATAAAATTTATAATTGAAATGAATCTCCACTCACCTTTTTTTTTTTCTTTTTGGATTAATATTTTTCTAAATAATTTTTTTGAACATTTGGCATTACTGTGAGGAAAATGAGAGGCAAATTGTGGAGGATGATAACAAGATGGTGAAAGAATTGTTTTTCATGTGGTTTTGTTTTTTCATGTGGTTTTGTTTTTAAGAATTGTTTTCTATTTCCCCTAATATATTTTGAGTAATCAGTAGTTAGGAGTGTAAAAATGGTCCACGGCTTGTGGAAGGCCCGAAGCCTGCCCGGGCCCACGCCCTTGGGCTTGGGCCATCATTTTGAAGCCCGATCTGGCCTGTGAGCCTATCCCATTGCCCAACCCATCAGCCTGCTTAAGGCCCACTCAATGCCCAACCTGAGGCCCAGTGTCTTTTTTAGTGAAAAATAATAAAATTTTGGTAGAAAAAATTTAAAAAAATAAAAAAAATGGTCAAGCTCCCCCAAGCCCGGCCCAATATCGAGGCCAGGCCTAGGCTCATCGAGCCGGCCTGAGGCCTAGTCCACCGAGCCGCCCAAGGCGCAAATACCCCCTGGGCCTAGGCCTAATTTTTTGACCTGTGGTCCGGCCCGAATTTTGGTGGGAGCCCGCGAGGCCCTATATGGGTTGGGCCGGCCTAAATTTACACCCATATCAGCAGTACATTTGGTTGATGCCTTCGCCATGAAAAATTATTATTGATTTAAACCATGAGACCTATCAGCCTATTTGGTTTTGGTTTTGGTTTTCAAAAAATAATTTTTAGAAAATTCTATTTTTTTTTATTTTCCGTATTTTAATATTTTCAATGATTTTTTTTAATGGTCAAGCTCGCCCAAGCCCGGCCCAATATCGAGGCCAGGCCTAGGCTCATCGAGCCGGCCTGAGGCCCAGTCCACCGAGCCGCCCAAGGCGCAAATAGCCCCTGGGCCTAGGCCTAATTTTTTGACCTGTGGTCCGGCCTGAATTTTGGTGGGAGCCCGCGAGGCCCTATATGGGTTGGGCCGGCCTAAATTTACACCCATATCAGCAGTACATTTGGTTGATGCCTTCGCCATGAAAAATTATTATTGATTTAAACCATGAGACCTATCAGCCTATTTGGTTTTGGTTTTGGTTTTCAAAAAATAATTTTTAGAAAATTCTATTTTTTTTTATTTTCCGTATTTTAATATTTTCAATGATTTTTTTTTAATATTTTAGGCAATTTTTTAAATTTTTAGACACACCTTGTAACACCCCCAAAAGTACACAATAATTATAACCAAAAAACATATATAAATGACAGCATAAATCAGAGTATAATGTTCTTTCATTTCATAACATAAATAGTACAAAAGGTTTAACGTAAATAAATACCCTATAGGCTTATATCTTTCCAAGTCTTTGCTTGGTTACAACAAAAGAGAGACTAGCTCATACAATTAAAGCCCTAGGCTATACAAAAATGAAGCAAAACAAGGAAGCCCTTGCTTCCCAAAAGTCCCACCAATGCTATTACCTTGGTGGAGGCATGCCATCAATACTTGAAAGTGTTTTTCCCAAATAGGGTGAGCAACAGCCCAACAAGAATAATCTAACACAATATATGAGGTTTAGCAGAGATATAAGTACGATGTGCATTTACAATGCTTGTGGTATAGCATTCATAATTTATATATTCATAAGATACCAAATCCGATTCTTGATCCATTTTCCTTCAATTCACTTCCGGTTCATTTATTCCTCTCAATTCATGAGTCAATTTCATTATTTCTTTCATAACCAAATGAGATTAACTCAATGGTTCTACAATTCCACAATCAACACACAAACACTTCAAACTGCCATTTTACGGATATTTCGTCCGCGGGATCGGCACCTATGTATAAATTTCGAGACTTTCACTCAATCGGCCAACTTATTTATAATGGAGTCCATCCCATTTCTCCTCCCAAACAATGGAGTACATCCCCTTTTTCCTCCCAAACAATCATACATGTACAATGTATTTAAACACATAATCATACATAGAGTACATCCCCTTTCTCCTCACAAATAATCATACATACACAATGTATATCAAGATAGTCAAATTCAATGACAACCGACAAAAGATTAGTTTCAATTCACCTAATCCACATGTAATTTCTACAACAATCAAAGCTATCCTCCACCAATAGCCCAATATAGATATTTCTAAACAGATATACATTCTCAAGACATGTAATTTATTCAAAATTTCCAAAGGTGTGAAGTATTACATACTCAATTCCACCATCTATTTCAATACTCGCTCAATTCCATGTTTACAACACTAATTTTAACTATTTATACAAAATAAATATGATAATCATTTTAGGGAAAAAAAAAATCCCCTTTTCAAAATATCAATCCAAGTGCCAAAATCAACCATTTTGACACAACATGACATCATTTTCAAACCCCATGTTCGTTTATTTCATCTTCACCAAAAACCCCTCTTTTCATTTCATCCAAACCCTAAGTTTGTCCAAACTGCCCCCAAATCCCACCATTGTTATACAATGACAAATAACTAAGCTAAAAACCATATGAGAGCGTAGAAAATCTCTACCTCAAGAAGAGAAGATGAGCACAACAAAGGTGGAACTTCAAAGACACCGAAACCAAAGTCTACTCGGATCAAAATGGAGATCTTGAGAAGCTCCACCTTTTTAACAAAGGCAAAGGGGAATCTGTCATCCTTTATTGAATTCGATGCAAGTGTCAATAATATTAATGGCAGTGTACCTGAAGCCCTGGTCCGATTGACAAACGTGAGCTTTCTTGGATTAGGTGAGAACAAGTTGGTTGGTAATATTCCTTCCTCAATCTTTAATCTCTCTTCCATCACAACTTTTGATATATCAATTAACCAAGTTCAAGGGAGACTCCCCTTAGATCTTGGAATTTCTTTTCCAACACTTCAATGGTTTTCAGTTGAAATTAACTTGTGTACTGGATCCATTCCTATTTCAATATCAAATGCAACCAACCTGCATCACCTTGACTTAGGACGAAATAAATTTATTGGAAGAGTGCCTCCTTTGAGAATGATGCACAATCTTGGGCGGTTAAACTTTCAACAAAATCATCTTCGAACAGGGGGAAGTTGGTGACTTGAATTTTCTTAGCTCATTGCCCAATGCCACCAATTTGAACTTTTTGAGGATGGGCTCCGACAACTTTGGAGGGGTGTTTCCAGAATCAATTGGCAATTTGTCCACTAATCTTGGTATCCTTTTTTTGGATAACAATAAAATAGGTGGGAGCATCCCAACTGAGATGGCGAATTTGGTCAATTTGCGGGCTTTGGACATGTCAGACAATCATTTCATCGGTAACATTCTTGTTGATATTGGGAAGCTACAAAAGCTACTAATTTTGGATCTCTCAGATAATAAATTCTATGGGAAAACTCCATTGTCTTTGAAAAATTTGACTTCACAAGAGTATCTTTATTTAGGAGTAAATAATTTGCATGGCAACATTCCTCCAAGTCTAGGAAAATGCCCACTTGTAGATCTGGCTCTTGGTGGAAACAATCTTAGTGGTACCATACCCAAACAAGTTCAAACTCTCTCATCGTTATTGAACTTGTACCTACATGACAACCATTTGGTTTGGTCCATACAACTAGAAATTGGGAATTTAATAAATCATGAACAATTAGATGTTTCAAGGAATATGTTGTCTGGAAAAATTCCAAGCACTCTTGGTAGTTGTGTAAAATTGAGATTTCTATATATACAAAGCAATAATTTTTGGGGAACTCTTCCTTCATCTTTAAGTTATTTGAGAGGTATTGAGGACTTAGATCTTTCTCACAATAATTTCTTAGGAAAAATCCCAAACTATTTAGAGGGCTTTGTCTTCTTACAAAAATTAGATCTATCATTCAATGATTTCGAGGATGCGGTACCAGAAATAGGCATATTTAAAAATGCAACAGCTATATCTATTAGGGGAAACAACAAGCTTTGTGGTGGTAAACCTAAAATACATTTGCACAGTTGCAATACCAAGGGATTCAAAAGGAAAATATTTACACTCATCTTGAAAATAATAATCCCCACATTGTTTGGGCTTCTGGGACTAGTAATAGTGTTGTGTTTACTGTATCTTTGTTGCTTTAGAAAGACAATAAAAGTACCCTCTTTGAGATTTTTATGGAAGTCATATGTGAAATTGTCCTACCAAAGTCTACTCGAGGTAGTTGATGGGTTATCTGTAGCCAACATGATAGGCATGGGTAGTTTTGGTTCAATTTACAAAGGAATTCTTAATCATGGTGAAAACGTTGTAGTAGTGAAAGTACTAAACCTTCAATTCCGTGGAGCTTCCAAGAGTTTCGTTGTTGAGTGTGAGGCCTTGAGGCGCTTCAGACATCGAAATCTTGTTATGGTTTTCACAGCATGTTCAAGTGTTGACTATAATGGTAATGATTTCAAAGCTCTGGTTTACGAGTTCATGGTCAATGGTAGCCCAGATAATTGGTTACATGCAAATGAAAATGAAGATGAGGTGCATGTCGAATCAAGAAATTTAAACCTCCTACAAAGGTTAAATATTGCCGTTGATGTTGCTTCTACACTTGATTATCCTAGTCAACCTCATCTGATAATCAAACATAACTATAAGTTTAAAAGATTAAAGGAATAAAAACTGCTTGTTATTATTAGGATTTGGGATGAAAAGTTCCAGCTTTGGGCACTAGTACTTAGTTCCAATGAAAGTAAGTTTTGTTTACTCTCCAAAACCGGAGAATTCACACCCAACAATAGATCTATTAACTTAAAAACTAGAGAAATCGATTAGGTTAATTACAAGAATCATTCTCTGAAGTCTAAAGTCTAAAAATCATTTTAGAATATATATTGGTAGTTACTGTATATATATATATGTTCAAGTTCTAATTGTTTTTAATCTGAGTATATATTCATCTTTGTCAGCAGTAGGAATGGAATTCCTTCCATTTGCTCATTCTAACAAATAATTAATGATTACTTGTTGAAAAAGGGGAATGAGTTCAGACTATTTTATGCCATAGATATGATTAAGGAGTAATATATATATAATAGTGCTTTTAACAATTGATACCCATTATTTATGGGATAAAGACTTGACTTATGGAAACTTGTTGCCATCTTTTTTTTCTCTTTGGATTATAATGAGATAAGGCTTCCAATCTAACTAAAATTTATTGACTGATGTCAACTTATATGAAAATACTATTTATATAGAATTCTTTAACGAAATGATATAGCAGTTACAATTTTTAGGCTTCGTTTGGGAAGCCTTGGTTGAGGCTTTTTTGGCTATTTTAGCCACAAAAAACAAAATAGGCTATTTTAGCCACAAAAAACAAAACATCACATCCAACCCATAATCATTACACTCTTCTCTCACAAAAAAAGTCAAAAAACCCAAAAAGCCAAAAATCCCTTCCCAAACCAAGCTTTTTAGCCCAGGCTAAAATAGCCAAAAAAGCCAAAAAGCCAAAAAGCCAACCCACTTCCCAAACCAACCCTAAATGTTATTTAAATTTAAAATGATAAGTCACACGACAATCCTGTCATTTTAAATACAAATTCTGTAAATTTTTCATGTTTGTATACAAATTGTGTAAACTTCTAGAAAAATCTCAAATTAAGTGGGTTGGGTGGGATGACCATGAATGGGCAATAGTGGATTTGGGGACTTTAGTTATAATGACTCAAGACATTTACGTTGTGTTTAGTTAGGGGATTTGGGGACGAATTTTGAAAGAAAAAGGAAAAATGTGTGTGAAACCAAATGAAATATAGGTATGTTTTATTCACATTCCATCTACATTTTCTATTTTCCTTTCTAAATTCCATCTCAAATCCTCCAACCAAACATAGCGTTAGGGTCTTTTATTGGATATGAGAGGTGGTTGTTGAAACATTAGGGAAGACAGGTTGTTGTTGTACTCACGAGGCACAGTAGTTTGTTGTGTGGTCTTGTGTGGGTTTTTCATGGGATTACTTTGATGATTCAAATTGTTTAAATTGTAAGATTTTTCAAGTAAATTATTCATGAAAAAAATAGATGAATCGGACATTTGTAACCACATAACATCACATGTATTTAAAAACAAGTAAACTGCAAGCAGAGGTGGAACTAAGATGATTGTGCAAGTAGAGATTAAATTTAAATTTACCTTACAACAAAAAAGAAGAAGAAGATAGTTCGTGAGTAAATTTAAATTTATTTTTTAAATATACTCAGGGGTCTAATTGATATTGTTTTGGATAGTTCGAAGGGTAAAGTGAAGTTTCAAATTAAATTTCAGTGTCATATTAGCAACTTCCATTTGATTATACACAGTAGCTAACGGTGAGGGTGAAATTAATATAAAATCGAATAGTTTAAGTATAAAATTATTATTAAAAAAGCTTGGATTAAATTAATTTTTAAATGATGGTTTGGGGTGTAAAATGAAATTTCATTTGATTTTAAATTTAATAAAAAAGTTTAAGGCTATGTTTGAATTATGGATTTGGATAAGAATTTGAAAAGTAAAAGAAAAAAGATTTAAGATTGTTGGGTGGAGATTGAATCAGTAGTGTGAGTTTTATAATGAATTTAAACTATAGATTGATGGCAAGTGCATGATCATGATCATGACTTTTTTTCTGCAGGACTGACTGACTTCATTATTGGGTTCTTGAATGAATATAGTGAGAGATGGGATTGATCAACAAACCTTTAAGCTTAATAGGGAAAAAAAAAGAAAAAAAATAAAAGAAAGTGATTTAGAACATTTAAGACAACACTATTTCCCCAGACGAGTTTAATATTAGTTTCAACAATGTCATGGACTCTGTTTCAGTTCATGCATGTTGTTTTTGTTCTCATGGTGTGTTTGGATGGTTCGGGCTCTACTACTCATCGTGTTCATGTAGCCGAGAATGAGACGGATCGGCTAGCATTCCTCGCATTCAAGGCTCAAATAACCGGTGATCCATTTGGAGCTCTAAATTTGTGGAGTGAATTTGTCCACTTCTGTCAATGGGCTGTGTAGCATATGGCCGTCGCCACAAGAGGGTGACTGTGAATATTGACAGGCTCCATTTTGCCTCACGTTGGAAATCTGAGCTTCCTTAGGGAACTATGGTTGCGTAACAATAGCTGCACTCATCAAATCCCCCTTGAACTCGGCCATCTAGGAAGACTGCGAATATTGAAACTAGGCAACAATTCAATCACTGGTGAAATTCCCGCCAATATATCTGCTTGCTCTAACCTTGTTGCTCATAAATGTTATCGCAATAGGCTGGCTGGAAAAATTCCTGTGGAGCTTTGTTCTGTGTCTATGCTCAAGCGACTGTTTATTGACTTCAATAAGCTAACAGGAGGCACGATATTGTTTCCCATCATACTTTAAACAGTATAGTCTGTCGTTCTCTAAACTTGTTTTCTACAAAGAATTATTTGTCGAAGGTACATTACTATTTGTTTATATGATTCTGACCAAGCATCTTTACAATTGCATTTACTTCGTGTTATACATGAATTATAGAATATGGTACGGGAAATGAGGTGATGACATTGGAGATGTTTACAGGAAAGAGACCTACTGATAACATGTTTAATGATAATTTGAGTCTCCATAACTTTGTTAAGATGGCTTTACCCGAACAAGTAACAAGCATTGTTGATCCAACACTATTTCAAGGAAGAGAAATTGGGAAGGCAAGCTCAAGCACCAACAATACTCGGAATCAGAGCTTTGCTAGCAATCAAAAAAATCATGAGTGCTTGATTTCAATACTTAATATTGAATCACTTGTTTACAAGAACTACCAAGAGATCGACCAGCCATTGATCATGTTGTTACTCAGTTGCATGTGATCAAGAACAATTTTCTTAGTGGAGTAGGCGTGTGCACATGCAGAACTATGTGTTTCACGGCAAGAATACAAGTAATTGGGTGGCATGATATAAGTGAGGAATGATCTGCCTAGGAAAGATCGTGATCCTAAATGCTGAATGCAACAAAAACAAACTACGATGCAATGGATACAGTGAATAAGGCGCAAGCCAAACCACATTTTACCTAGAAAAGGCATGGACACAAAACAAAGCACGTCTAACATAGAAAAGGTGCTGAAACCCTCAGACCACAATTTCTTACTGGAATAGGCGCATACACATTATCACAAAACCATGCTTCAATGAAGGAAATGTATGAGCACATGCCAGACTAAGCTTAACATGGAAAGGATACAGACGATAAAATGGATAATGCAGTAGATGCATGCGATAAATGCTATATGCAATGCAATAGACGTAATAGATGAGGTAATAGCTAGGAGGTGAAGGTACCTTATAGGGGTAATTGGTAATGACTCACCTCATGTTGCTGGGGATCTTCCTATTCTTCTCAGTTCATCTACAGGTACTACTTTTCTCCCTGGCTATGGTCGCAGCTTTCTCTATTCTCCAATAGGGTGACAGACTAGGTTGGTTTAGTATCTAGAATCGAGGCGCATACACGCTACCTCAACCTATGGGGCTGCCATACAGATTTCAAGCTAAGGATACGCCCCTGGGTATTTAAACCAGACTTTAGTCTCGGAAATTCTGAACCTTTACGTTCTAGGCATCGCCCATTCGAACTCAAGTTTCCACCGTCTTAGTTGATCTCCTAGGAACTCACCGCAAACAAAGGCAGGTGGTTATACCAGACCACCGGAAGTCGTTCGGCGACGACAAACACCAAAGGAACTGCACCGTTAGAGGATTTAAGGTCTCCTAGACCAGATGAATGCACATGACAGTGCGATGCAGAGTGAATGCACAAAAAAGTGCTATACAAGTGCACAAGACAGTGCGACGTAGAGTGAATGGACAAAACAATGCTATACAGGTGCACAAGACAATGCGATGCAAGGTGAATGCACAAAACAATGCGAACTAAAGGTGCACAAAACAGTGCGATGTAGGGTGCACAAAACAGTGTGATACAAGGTGCACAAAACAGTGCTATACAAGGGGCACAAAACAGTGCGATGTAGAGTGAATGTAGAAAACAGTGCTATACAGGTGCACAAGACAATGCGATGCGAGGGTGAATGCACAAGACAGTGCGATATGCAAGGTGCACAAAACAGTGCAACACAAGGTGAACAAAATAGTGCGATGCAGGTGCACAAGACAATGCGATGCACAAGAAAGCGCGAGTGTAGTGCACAAAAAAGTGCGAATACGTCCAAACGTGCCTCACGCGAGTAGAGAAAGAGTGAATAAATACGCAAGAAAGTGCGAGTGTAAATTTCACAAGAAAGTGCGATGCACAAGAAAGCGCGAGTGTAAGTTGCACAAAAAAGTGCGATGCACAAGAAAGCGCGAGTGTAAACTACACAAAAAAGTGCGATGCGCAGAAAAGCGCGAACAAAAATGTGTGATGCGCAGGAAAGCGCAATTATAAAATCCACAAAAAAGTGTGATGGGCAAGAAAGAGTGAGTGTAAACTGCACAAAAAAGTGCAATGCGCAAGAAAGCGTGAGTGTGAACTGCACAAAAAAGTGCGATGCGCAGGAAAACGCGAGTGTAAACTACACAAAAAAGTGTGATGCATAGGAAAGCACGAGTGTAAACTACATAAAAAAGTGCGATGCGTAAGAAAGCGCAAGAGTAAACTGCACAAAAAAGGGCGATGCGCAAGAAAGCGCGAGTGTAAACTGCACAAAAAAGTTCGATGCGCAAGAAAACGCGAGTGTAAACACAGGATTTTAAGGTCTCATAGACCAAAGAATGCATAAGACAGTGCGAGTGAGACACAACCACAAAGTGCACAAGACAGTGCGAGTGATATACAACCACAAAGTGCACAAGACAGTGCGAGTGATATGAAATTGTGAAATAGATGCACTGAGTGAGATTATTGTGCAATAGATGCATGATGTTAATTGAAAGCATGTTCTATGCATGAAACAAACATATTCTATGCAAGAGACAAAAGCATATTTTATGCAACACTGAAAGCATATTCTATGCATGAAACAAGAGCATATTCTATGCAATATTGAGAGCGTATTCTATGCAAGAGATAGACATATTCTATGCAACATAGAAAGCATATTCTATGCAAGAATCATAAACGATACGCGGCACGCATACAACAGAAATGTATATGAAAGTGCACATTCTATGCAATAGAAGAGAATCAAATATGTACTTTGATGCCTCCAATTTACCTCTCGAAGGACTTTGCAACATGCTCAACTCAAAAAGAATACACCATGCTCACATTGGCGAGAGGTAACATCTGCATGCTACAATTATCATTCTGACTTGAAGCAGGCTTGAACTCAGGGTCTAGGTACACTCATACTCCAGAAAAATGGCAAGGCCTGAGAAGGTGCACCTGGAATGTAGTCTCAGAATTTACTAAAGTTGAAACAAACTAAGATGCTCCAAATTTTCCCTCTTTTCTTTTTCTTTGCAGTCTGGAACCCATGTAGCTTCAGATAGGTCTTGGTTTTATTGTTCTCACATGACCTGGGTTGAACCCTGCAGTTTTATAAAAGAACAAATCCTGTTTTGCACAAATATGGAGAATGGCACAGCACTCTGAGCACAAAACGATTTGAAATTGAAATTGAGAAATGAGTTCTCGACCGGGTATTGAGCCTGCAACTGACCACAGTCAAAACGACTCAACAAAGGGAAAGACAAGGTAAAAACAACCTAGACACATCTATTGACACTCAAAACGACTCAAAACAAGAATCGAGACAAACAAAAACACACACACAACACCCAGATACTCTGATATCATCTGTGGGAGACCTCTCGATTCACGAGGCGCCTGTTTTTCCGGATATTGTTTCCCACCCTTTCTTATTTTTAATTCTCACATCACTCTGGCACTTAATCTCTTTTTCTCTGAAAAGCCCTATCCTTACTTTTTCTCTCAGCGCACATTTCTCTATTCTTCAATCTCTCTTATTTTTTATCCATCCCCTAGGTGGTTGATGGATAAGCAAGAAGTCGTGGGCTCTTGCCCCTAGTATTCTACTAGATTCTCCTTCTTTCACTCACAACTAGTGAGCCTTTCCCACAGAAGGGTTGTGATGCGACTGGATGTGCAGCAGATCTGCAATTAACATCGGTTGACGATGCCCTTAGCTTTGCTTGACCGAGATGAATTACAACATGTCCCACTGGCCAGGTATACAATTGATCGGTCTCACATATTGCGTTTTCTATGTTCCCATTCCAAGTCAGACGCCAATTTGGGTGCGATCAAACCCGTCTAGATGAGGGAGTCGAACATCCCGCTCCATTTTCAATTTGTGCTTCGCACTTGGCTTGATACCTCGCTGCTTGGAGGACGAGAAAGCCTTTGGTCTTCTGCTGTTAGCTTCAGTTGTGCCCTTTCTGGCAAGTATAGTGCCCTTTCTGGCAAGTATGGTACCCTTTCTGGCAAGCATGTTAACAACGGGGAAAAGACAGAAAACCTGGCTCAACTGTGCCCCTAGTTCATCATTTTGACCATTTTTGTTTTGGCTTTCTACTAAAACAAATTTTGACCAATATGAGAGTTAGATTAACATGGTTGTTCGATTTTCTACTTTGAAATCTTGCAAGTTAGGTTGTTAGCACTGAAAATTTTCCTTTTTTGGGTCCAAGAAATGGTCCAATTTTTTTAAAAAATGGAATAATTTTCGAGAGAATTAGTCAACCTCATTAAAAATCCTCAAAACTTGTTTTTGCAAATGGCCATTGCTCAACCAACACGAAATCAACTCTTGAGATGCACAACCTCAGATCTCAACTTGAATTATCTTGCAGCTGAATCTTCTAACGGAATAGGACAGTCTTATTTTGAACGAAGACGAGCCAATTTGCACATGGAGAGAATAACCAAGTATGAACAAGGATAAGCCAATCAACATGGATGAGCCAAGCAGGCTAAAAATGGTTGGGGCCGAACTTCCGGATGAAGTTGCCTACGTATCCCAAAGATGGGAATCAGGCCGAACGTAGTTCCGGGTTAAGTTGCACTCGAGAATTAACATTCTCCTTTTGTGCTCTAACTTTTGACCAGGCCGCCCTTCCGGGTTTTCAACCTTGCGAGCTCTGTTTTTCTTTTCTTTTTTCTTTGTTCTTCTTTTTCTTTTTCTTTTCTTCTTTCTTCTTTTTCTTTTCATTTCTTTTTTTAATTTTTGTTCTTTCTTTTCTTTTTTTTCATTTGCTCTAACTTTTCCCTGGGTCGCCCTTCCGGGTTTTTAGCCTAGTGAGCCTCTCAAGAGTAAAAAAGTTTAACTTTGTCCATGTTGATTGCCCATAAGATATCTAACCCATCTGAATCCAAGAGAATGGATGTTGTTTGCTGATGATGTAGGAGCCCATCCAATCGGGTCTGAATTTGCCCCGAGTGTTGTGGATAGGAACTCGATTGTCTTTTCAGCAATAAATTTTCTTCTTTCAAATTCTGAAATTTGGGTTTCTTGCCAGTCTTCATTGGTTTGTAGAATGACTCATCTTTTGAATCTTTGCGCATATCTGACATTTTTGCCCCTAGTTCAAGGGCTACTTCTGATCTAACTTTGCAAGCTTTCTGTGATCATATTTGACCTTATTGCCCCTAGTTCAAGGGCTGCTTTCGATCCGGCCATACAAGCCTTATGTTTTGGTTGATCGTTGAACATTCTGAATCAAAGTTCAAGGTTTAAAAACAAAGGGGTCGTGTCTCGAGACCAAGAGTGATCCTATGCTGCACAATCTCAAGATCAATTCCATACATGTCTTCGCAGGACCACGCAAAACATTTTTTGAAATCTTTTAAGAAAGCGACTAGTTGCTCGCGTCGAAGACAATGTGGAACCAATCTGGATCAAGCT